GTTCCACAATTCCGATAATCAAAAAGAATCTTGTGCCCCCCTCCGTCCCCTTTGGCGCAGGTGAGAGAGGTGACAGCTCTTTTAAGTAGCCACCGATGTTGGCAGTGGCCGTACCCCCTCCCAATACAGGCGATGAGGCGGCCCAGAGCGAGCAACCAAACGTTTGACACGGAGGCCTGCACCACACCAGTGTCAATCATTAAGTTGCAGTGGGCCATGAGAGCCTTCTTACGGCCGCACGTGTCACTGAAGAGGCCGCAGCACAACGAGCCGACCATGGCACCGAAGATCCAGGCGTTCACGGCGAACGTCCACTCCAACTTCGAGTGGCCAGGGAACATAAGGCACGTGTCCTCCGCCACGGGACGAGCATTGCACTCGTCCGTGTCATTGTACTGCGACAGGTTTGTCTGAGACGTCGACCAACCGCTCTGGAACGGCTGCAACCAAGACAGGAGCGCGCTTGTGTACTGGGCTTGATCAGACGTGCAGCGGCCTTGTTGGCCTCGTCGAAGGCCGTCGTCGCCTTGGGCGCTGTAACTTCCGTGTAGTTATCCGCCATCGGTGAATCTCTTTGTTGCGTTCTTGAAGCACTCGGCTCAAGTGTCAAGTACTAAACCAAATGAAAAGTGAGTGAGCGACGCGCTCGAGGAAGGACCCTCCTCGATGTGTCCTGAAGGCCCTCCACCGGAGGGCAAGCTGGCTGCAGCACGGTACATGTATGAGGGCGTAGGAAAGGGATTTCACTTGATCTCTCGCCAAACGGCGTTCATCAAAATGCAACATCGCTTGTTTCTCGGCTCGAACCTTCACCTTGCGACCACCTGTCACAAACAGCGATAACACACGAGCAAAGGCTGACAACAAGAAACAGGCGCGTCTTTTTTGACCTGGATACGCGCAATGTGCGCCACTCGACGTTCCTACAGTAGTCCGGCGCGTACAGTACCGGCACATTTTCTGAAGTTTTATGCGTGTCCGCTCGCTGTTCAGACTTGTCAATACAGTTAACTGAGTCGCCTACACACTAAAGCTGCAATATCGAGGTACGCGTAGACTCGCTTCCTTATTCTTGTGTAAGCTTAGCTCAATGATCAACATGTATTGATAACGGTGGTGGCCTTGCAGGACGACGTCGGTCTCTGATACATGTACAGTGCATGTACTTTTGCCTTACGTGGCATGTATGCGTCAAGGTCGTGCAAAGAAAGACGAACTTCAGATATGCAGAAAAAAGCGTCATATTGGTTGAAGTTAGCTGGTCGTTTGCTAGTCGACTCGCCGTTGCAATCCAGCACGGGTTGGAGGGACCTTGACTCCCACTGACAGCCTGAAAGTCTCAGGCACCTTGCGACTCCCGCAGGCTACACGTAGCTGGCAGCGATGCCAGCATCAACCCGTACATGTACCGGCTCACCGTGTTTTTCCTGTGACTGCGCGAAAATGTAACGTATTTTGTACCTTGGTTGTTTGAATAACGAAAAACAATGTCGCTTCTACAGTACAGGTCGTTGTGACTTTCTCTAGTTTCAACCAGCCTGCCGCTGATAGAGTGCGTAAGAGTGCAAACTTGTCGGCTCAATTACATGTACAGTACAGTACAGTAGCTCAAAAACAAGATCCTACAGTAGTACAGCATCCGCTTGTGTCACTGTGTCCAAGTGTGGGCGGTCAGCGGCCCAAGCAGAAATCAAGTGAAAGCATTTCCATACGCAGCAGCCTTGTACTGTAACGGTAGTCGCACTCACCTTAGACAGCGGTGTGTCCGCTACCGACGTCCTCGAGTGTGTCGCTCACTCACTTTTCATTTTGTTTAGTACTCGACACTTGAGCCGAGTGCTTCAAGAACGCAACAAGAGATTCACCGATGGCGGATAACTACACGGAAGTTACAACGCCCAAGGCGACGACGGCCTTCGACGAGGCCAACAAGGCCGCTGCACGTTTGATCAAGCCCAAGGCCATCCTGTACACAAGCGCGCTCCTGTCTTGGTTGCAGCCGTTCCAGAGCGGTTGGTCGACGTCTCAGACAAACCTGTCGCAGTACAACGACACGGACGAGTGCAATGCGCGTCCTGTGGCGGAGGATACGTGCCTCATGTTCCCTGGCCACTCGAAGCTGGAGTGGACGTTCGCCGTGAACGCCTGGATCTTCGGCGCCATGGTCGGCTCGCTGTGCTGCGGCCACTTCAGCGACCGTCTCGGCCGTAAGGAAACGTTGATGCTGAATTGCATCTTCATGTTCGTGGGCGGTGTGGTTGAAGCGTCCGTGTCGAACATCTGGGCGTTCGCCGTGGGAAGGCTCATCGCCGGTATAGCCTCCGGCACGGCCACCGGAACTATCGGTGCGTACGTGAACGAGCTGTCGCCGCCGCACATGCGCAACACTTTGGGTCTGGGTCTGCAGATCTTCACCACGATCGGTATCTTGTTCCCGGCGATCTGCTTCTTCTTCGCCAACACGAGCTCTGGCTGGCGCTACCTGGCTGCCTTCCCGTGCATCCTGGCTGTGATCTACATGGTGTTGGCGCCAACCATGTGCATTGAGAGTCCGGCGTGGCTGCTAACTAAGGGCCGAACGGAGGAGGCCAAGGAAGTGATCGCTCGTCTGTATGGCGAGGAGCACGTGCAGACGGCCATGTCGTGGTTGCAGACGAGCAAGAAGGTGGACACGGCGGAGGAGGGTCTGTCTGCGCCGAAGCAGGAGTCCATGTTCGCTCCTCGCTACCGGATGCAGCTTCTGGGTGGCATCCTGTTGTCGTGTGCTCAGCAGCTTTCGGGTATCAACGCTGTGTTCTACTACTCCGGCAGCATCTTCTCGGATGCCGGCATTTCGGACTCGCGTGTCGGCACACTGATCATTGACTTCATCAACATCTTCCCGGCCTTCTT